GCCTACCAGAGGGGAAAAATAAAACAAAAAACAAAACCCACACCCTCACCAACACTGGCAGGGCATGCCACAGTATATAAACAGAGAGCAAACCCCACTCCATTTCTAGCACTGAAGATGTTAGCTAGCCAGGTAACAAAATGTTTGCAAGAAAACAACCAAGCTCAGAAAACCCCAAGGACTCCACAGTTCAACCCTGAACTACATATATTCTCTTCTATTGTTACCAACATATTTTATTTCAAGAAATGGAAATAATACACATCAGCACTCTTAAAAATAATTTCTTTTAACTTTTAATTTCTTGATACAAATACTAGAAGATCATGATGGTGATAATGAAGATTTAACAGTAAAATGTATCCAGACTTAGGGACTTCAATCAATCACAATTGATTTGTCCCGTTGATTTCAAGTGATGTTCTTGATTACTGTACTATGTTTGTATAATGCTGCTGCTGCTATTAACAGAAGCACTTCCTCTGCTCCCCATGAGATCACAGTATAAAAAAATAAAAGGATCACAGAGCAAGTGCTTACAGCAGCCCTGTTTTTATGCAGTTGATCTAGGTATTCATATCTAAGCTAGCATCTAGAAGGAAAAGTTAAGCCTATGAATTAACTCTTTCTTTGGTGTTCATATCACATGACTAATTGGGGAAGTTTATAACCCCAAATAATCTTGGGTTGGTTTTGGTTAAAGCTAACCCTTTCTAACTTCAGTGTTCTCTGGTTTAGCAAATTCATATAATCTGCTAATCACCAGAGTTAAGCCTTTCGTGCAAACAGGATCAATGGGATACACATCTGCTTCATTGATCTCTTATGCCACTTCATATGAAAGATTCTTTGCAGCATGATTTAGCTTGGTAGCTTTAAAGACTTGGATGTTTCCCTGGGCATGGAGGTCAGGAGGCTAGTTGGAGTCTGTGAGGTTTTGTTAATTTATTGTTGATTGGGTTTTGTCCGTGGTTGTCATTAAATGTTTTTTATATTATTGCTGTTCATATTGTATTGAGTTTTTATGTGGTGTTAGCCACCCAAAGTTGCTCTAGTGAGGTGGGCTGCCATATAAATCAAATGAATGAATGAATTTCTCCCACTTCCTCATAGTAGGATGAGTCACATATCTGTATTATTTCTTGTGTTCT